GCAGCTCCAGCAGAGCGAGACACACACACACACACACACACACACATGTCCCCATCCACTCCAGCAGAGGGAGACACACACACACACACTCACACACACACACACAGGTACACCTCCACACCAGCAGAGGGAGACACACACACACACACACACTCACACACACACACACACACACACACACACAGGCACACCGGCAGAGGGAGACACACACACACACACACACACACACACTCACACACACACACACACAGGTACACCTCCACACCAGCAGAGGGAGACACACATCAGACCACAGAGAGTGAAAAGCTGAACAATAATTAGGAACCTTTTACTCTCATTTAGTTAGTGCACATAGAAACAGCTCATTCTGAAATATAGCTCATTTAAAGCTGGAAATTAATTTAAATTAATATTTTCAATCCCAGATTTCAGACTTTTATACTCGCATTAATTTTTCTATATTTTTTAGCAGTGTTTACCGAGGTGCTGTTCTCAAAGTTAGCATTGATAATTTGAACAAACTCCCAGAACGTAGTATTGAACTTCAGTGAAGCTTGTTTCCACCTCAGAATAAAACTATTAGTTAATTGTGACTTTTTAGCTCATAATTCTGACTTTTTTGAGGTATTAATATATATTTGCACCAATGTTTTTTATAAATAAAATAATAAATAAATTATATTTCTTAAATTATATATACCTATATATTAATATAAATATTACACAAATATTTACAATTATGATAAATGCATTAATAAATAAATGTATTTATTCAGTGCAATTTATATTAATGTATATTACTATGGTATCTATACTGACTCACATATTTATTATAATTACAGTAAAATACATATTCATTATTACTTATTTAATACATGTAGTTTATTTAAATATAAATTGTATATATATATATATATATGAATAAAATAACATGGTTCATTAACACAAATATTTATTTATAATTCTTCTAAAATACATATATAAATAGATATTTATTATTAAAAAAGTGTCACAATGATCTTTTTGTGTTTTATTCTGTGGTGGAAGAAGAAAAAAAGTGAGAGATAAACTCAGAATTCAATTTATTTATTGCAGTTCTGTGTTTATATAGTTTATATTTTCTGGCATGAAAATATACAAAATAGAAAAAAATACAAGAATCAAAGTCCAAATTTACAGAAAAAATTTTTTTTATTCCATGATAGAAATGTGTGTATGTACAGCATCTGAAGTTGATGTGTGTGTGTGTGTGTGTGTGTGTGTGTTTAGATGACTCAGCGCATCCGTTCGGTGAAGCGGCAGCTGAACGAGGCCGAGGAAGAGGCGAGTCGACGGGACGTCCAGCACCGACACACACACAGAGAACTGATGGAGGAGAGAGAAAATAACAGCCGCCTGCAGAGACAACTGCTGGACCAACAGCTGAAATAGAAAAAAATACAAGAATCAAAGTCCAAATTTACAGAAAAAATTTTTTTTATTCCATGATAGAAATGTGTGTATGTACAGCATCTGAAGTTGATGTGTGTGTGTGTGTGTGTGTGTGTGTGTGTGTGTGTTTAGATGACTCAGCGCATCCGTTCGGTGAAGCGGCAGCTGAACGAGGCCGAGGAAGAGGCGAGTCGACGGGACGTCCAGCACCGACACACACACAGAGAACTGATGGAGGAGAGAGAAAATAACAGCCGCCTGCAGAGACAACTGCTGGACCAACAGCTGCACAACAAGTGCGTCACACACACGCACACACACACACGCACACTCACACTCACACTCACACACACACACACACACGCACACTCACACTCACACACACTCACACACACACGCACACTCACACTC